TTACAATATGTTATTCAAATAAACAGGAATACCATTTTGTTACGAATATTAGTATGTAAAAAAAAAAAAAAACCGTAAACAAAATTTGATGTCAACTTCTAGGCTCCTCTTCTGGGCTCCCCTGCTTAAGACCTCGTAGAGAATTTACTGAATGAAAAAAATAAAATATCAAGGAAAACAACCGGTACTTGCTTGGAATACTTAAACAAGAAACATTCTTGTGGCATCGACTTATGAATTATGCGAACACAATGTTTCCGTATAAAAATTGTTTGTTTTCGATTTGTAGATCTATATCAAATTTTTTTTTTCCATAAAAAAATAAACGGCCAGGTCACTTCTTCAACCACACTGAACATCTTTAGATGGTACAAATAAAGTCAGCTTTTCCTCTTAGCAAACAAAAGTGGAAATGGAGAATGAGCATACAAATTAATATTAAAGTGAAGATTTATATTGGTGAATTATTTTCATAAAGTAGAGCCAACGTACATGAGGCATAAATAGAAGAAAATGAACTAATGAGACTGCAGACCTTCCGTGAATCGAGACTGTTTTTTGTGATGTGAAAATGAAATCTCTCAATCCGATCTGTTTAAAACTTAAAGCTACGTTTTAGGATATAATTGTTGTTGTTCTATTTTTTAAGTATATATGTCGTTATATATTGTCATTAAATAATTTATTAGTAACCAATAGAAACAGCGTTGGATCCGTAAGCAGTTTTTGAGAACAATAACCAGAATGATTAGATAATTTGTGAGAAATATTACTTTATCTACGGGATAAATTGTAATAAATTGATCATATCTTATTTTTTTTCGATTACTATCATCAAAAAATACGTTATGGGATACGGGGGAGGAGAGAGAGGGATAGTTCTCGAAGTACAACAAACCTATTCTAACCAGAGCGGGAAGGTCGAGATTCGTTTCGTGGGTAGTAACGAAATAAATGCTTTAGACCACACTATAGAAGTGAAAACGTCGAGATTAATAGTTTGAAATATAAATTATAAATAATAGATGATCATAAAGAGGATGAAATGATTTTTTTTTCCTTTTTCTCTCTCTAATACGGCGCCGCGTTAAGATATAATTTTGAATAATAGTTCGTTACAGAGAGGATCCTAAACGATTCCCTCTCTTACGGTATGCAGGTCCGATTTTTAGTTTCTGAGATATTTTAATCCATATCGTCATTACAACAAATTTTCATTTGGTTTTCGAAACTATTTTTTCTCTTTTCGTCTCTCTAACACCGCGCCCCTTTAAGATACAATTTTGAATAATAGCTCATTACAAAGAGGACGAAATGATGAACATGTTCCTCACTAACAAAATGTAGGTTCGATTTTTATTTTTTCAGATATTTCAATCCATGTGCAAAAACACTTCAATTAGCCGATTCCAGTCGACATTAACAGAGCGTTACACATTGGAGACCTGACGGTTCAATCTAATACACTCTCCATAAGTCCAAAATGCGCCTAAGGAAGTTTCCTCTTCAAAAATAATTTAATGAGAATAATGAGGAAGCTTCAGACCGAAAGCAACCCCTTGAATCCACCAGTGTTTAAACACTTAAAACATTGAAAGTCATTTTTTTTTTTTTTACAGATATTATTATGACTGGGCATGTCAGTTTTCAAAATTACACTGCGATCAGAAATCTTATGAGAACATATACGACTAAGTCACCTAAGCATATAATGATTTCTCCAGATCCGAATCTTAAGACACTCACACTCTGGAAGAAAGTATTTCAGGGAGAAAGAAATACATCTAAAAAGAAAAATCAGGATATATCTTAGAACATGTGTCCAATGCTTGAGTGACATCTAGAAATACGCATTCTTGTTTAGAGTCTAAGAAATATGGTCTGTCGCTTAGTCTCATCATTGTTTGGTTTAATTGAATTGATATAATTCGTGTTGAGAATGGTTTGCGTTGTCTGTCAGTATGTTAGATAGTACTTTGGTCTGTAATTTTACGAAAATTTTTAGATAACAGTAAGTTGGTTTATAAGCTTGTATGAAGTACCTAGGTCCTTGTTTTGTTCCTCACTCTTACGTACTAATATTCGTAACAAAATGGTATTCCTGTTTATTTGAATAACATGTTATAATATGAATGTTATGATTTGATTTTCTTGAAGACTTCTGTACCAATCAAATGGACTTCCAGGTTTTTTTTTTATCATATTCAGTGTTAGTTTATTGGTAATTGAAGTAAACACCGATGAAGGAAAGTCATTGAAACCATTAATAAATGGCGCTAATGAACATTTGGTGGTAAAGACAAAGAAAATAAAAATAAAAGAAAATAAAAATAAATATATAATATTATTCCAAAACTTAATAAATTAGATTATTTCATGGTATAAAAAAATAATTATGTTGTAACCACTTAGAGGAAATTAATATATACTAATTGATGTATACATAACGTATGACGTGCCTGAAGAAAACGAAACCGAACTGTTAGATAATTGTTTATCGCCTAGTTTACAAATTGTTTATTCGTTTAGTTTTCAGAGCCATTTTAAGCTATGAATAAAAAACCTTTGTGTATTTACAATGTTTAGCACTGTGCAGATCTTTTTAATAAACAACGTTATAAAAATATCAACATGGTAGTCTATTTTTTCCGAGATACGAGGTTTTGAGACTGACTTCCTAGTCATTTAAAAAAAACAGCGATTTAGTACCGACCTTTTCACGATTTATTTAATATTGTATGCCAAAGCTAACTTGATTGGAATTTAATATATTTAAATTGAATAAAAAATTATTCTCCTGTTTTAGCACCAAGTTTATTATTCGTTATTAATTTCGATTATTCTATGAAACAATCTTCTTATACTTGTGTATTATAAATCGACATCTAAGTTAGGTTTCATTTTAAACAAAATCTAATGAGAATCTAACTGAATCATTCATAGACTTAAAAAAATTTGACATTATTTGTTCAGTTTTGGTATGTTTAAATTCTTCCTGCCAATATATTGACTACAGAAGAAGTAAATTATGAGGGTTCACAAAAATAATAAACATTCACCTAAGTATTAATAGAATTTTTCCCTTTGTTTTGAAGTTCGCAATGAAACATGTTTTTACCAGAATCATGAGTTGACGTATAGAAGATTGTTGGTTCAGTCCGTCTAAATTTATAGTGAAAACTATTGGATGAACCAACTTTATCATGTATGTTTTTTTTTTGTTTTTTTATGTATGAGTTGAAGAATAAAGAACTCGCCTCATGATTTAAATTCTAAAAAAATATATTATTTTGTATTGATTTATTTTGTTGTCCCTACTACAAAAAAGGCAAATAATGTTTATACTTTTTTAATTATGTCAGAAATGTCTTCATATTTTTCTCTAATATTTTTTTTTTCTTAGCGTAACATTTGTTTTTATGGACCCACGAGGTTTTGGAAGTAAACCACCAATATATAAACAAATAAAATAATAAGTATTTTCCATAGAAAGATTTTTTGTTATCTCGTCAATTTTTTGTTATCAATCTATATCTTTGTCTAACAACTAGTTGATATATTGACATAAAAACACATATTTTACAACTGAAAAACTAACATCCATCATACAGGTATTTTTAATCTTCATTGTGGGTTAAGGAGAATTTCTGTTGAGAACATGCCCTGTGCTGTGAAGATGGTTTGGTATCCTATTTAAATTATTGTGTATTAAAATCATATGTATATAATTGTAAGTTATTACACCTAATGTTAAAAAAAATTAGGTCTTTAATTATTTTCAATAAAACAATAAATGTCAGTTTTAGTGCTCTTCATACTTTCTTCCCTAGCGTTGATAATGTTTATTTCTTTTTAGATATGTGTTTTTATAAACTTGTGTTCAGATCACTGGAGGTTCTATAGAGGTAGGGACTTTAAGGTTCTCCCTCCACTAAAATAAAATAAAAACATTTTTTTTTTTTTGCATTGGTGCAGTTTTTCTATGCGTTCTGGATCCACTAATGCCTTTGGTACTCTAAAATGTTACTATAATAAGGTTGTATGTCATGTAGTATGAAATCTGTAAACTTTAGAAACACATTATCTTCCCTTACATATATTATCTATGAAAGGGGAAAAAGAAGAAAAAAAAAAAGATTATTCCCTCAGAATCAATTTTTTATGATCTCTTTCAAAAAATAATCTTATTTCTTCTAAATTGATCTTTGTGGATAAATCATTGTTGAAAGTATGTTTCGATTACTTATGAATGCAACTTCAAAACTTTTTTTCACAATTTAATTACTAAAAGAAAAGATTTTTTTTATAAATTAATATTTGGCCATTGATTATACAATCATAGTTCCTTTGTCATAACATGCAATACTTGTATTTGCTAATAATATATTTTTTTTATTATTATAAAAGTATACGATAAAAATAAAAACAAATATTTGGGGAGCTCTTGCGGATCTGAGTGGGGATTTCGAACTTAAGTCCCCCAAAATCGATATTGTTTTCATTGGTCAATAATTGTTTATGTAACTGAACAATAAAGATATTTTATCTTTTTTAATTATAATAACTACTAAATGTAAGAACGTGCGAAGAAAAATCTAAGAAATTTATCTTTAAAAGCATAAAATGTACCTGTAATTAGCTTTTTAGTTGGTCTTTAAAGAACAATTAAAAATCATTTGATACAGGTAATGGACCGTTCTTCTCTTTTTATCCCAGAGTAATTGCCGTTTTAAAACAAATAAATATATAAAAATAAAAGAAAAACACTCATAAATTAAATCCTAGATCTCCTGCTGTTTGAGAGATGATTTAATTATGAATATTTTAATAAAAATATTCCTATTAAGATATTTTCGTGCTCCTTTCTAAAATACTAAAGACTCGTCTTATTTCATTTGACCGATATACCTCCTGTTATATTCATGTATTATTTTGAGGTACATTTTACAAGATCGTGCCTGTGTTAAGATCATTTACAAGATCCTGATTGTTGTGCTCACCGCATCTGCTCAGGACTGAAGGCGTTCCTGTAGAGGGCGCTGAGGATGCCGAAGAGGACGAGGAAGAGGATGAGCTCTCGGTAGATGAGCTTGTAGAGGCTGCCCCGCCACATGAAGAGGAGGCGGGTGAAGCCCCCGCTGGTGGAGGAGGCCACCTCATACTGGTAACTGACCGTCATCGGAGTCTGCTCATCGCGCACTGCTCTCTGCCTCTGCTCCGCCCCCCCCCCCACCATCTGTAGTGGGGGATAAACTAGATCGGGTGGCAGTAAGATAATCGCATGGATTCAAAGTATTTACTGAAATCACTTTCATAAAAATAATAAAGGTTAGTTTCTTCTAGGTTAGATGTCGATAATGTCTACATCGGTATATTTTTCTAGAATAAAACTTAAAACCGTATGAATCCAGACTTGTAAGATTCACTTTATGAGTATCCTGATATTTTACAGTACTGCAATCATTAGCAGGTATAAACACGTCCTGCATAAATTAATCTGCGAACCCGTTTAAGCTATCCCGACATGCTATATAAATACTATATCCAAACCACAATAACGTTTAACATAAACACAAATATCGGTTACCTCCTAGTTGATATAAGTACAATGGAAATTCGAAATTATTCGACTGAAGAGATCGTATGGCGCAAGGAAGAGGGGTCAAATATTTACAAAGGTTATGAATTCTTGGAGGGAATCTTATTTTTGTGGGGTTTGCATTGGGAAGAACATTAGAATCAAGAAAAAAAAAAAACTAATCAAAATTTTTATAATTTTACTATTGTTTGCACCGTTTTTAAAATGAGGGAAGCAATACATTTTCACAATACAAGGATGGAGCGTCATGTGCCATTGCCCTTGGGGGCAGGAAAATAATCACCTCTGAAAGAGAGTAATGAATTTTCTTGGGAGGGAGGCAAGCGCCATCGTCCCTTGGGGCCTTGGAATTACACCACTAATTATACTAGTATATTTGCAAATCGTTTATTCAAGTTCAAAATTAATGTTTATTGCATATTGATTTAAATTCAGAAACGCCGTGGTGTTTAAATCTTCCTGTGGTGTTTAAATGGTGTGGACTAAAATCTTCCTCTACAATCCTACATATTTCTTTAGGGATACAATCCAATTAATAAAGATCTGTGGATTGGAGTTATTAAACCTGAGATCAAGAATATAGAGCATCCTAAAGTGGTGGTACTATTGATGGTAGTGTACGTAAACAAAGGCACAAAAAAAAAAAAAAAAAAAAAAAAAAAACCGACACTTCTCGTTCAGCAATTGTTCTTATTTCAAAACAGTGCACAACCTAACTCTCTTCTGTTTCAAGAAAAGAGAACCTTGCACTCAATCTAGGTATCTCATTTCAATAAGTATGAGAACATACCTTACGCAAAATAGTTCAATTGTGCAGAGTTACAGTGAATATGTTGAGATAAGTAATAACTGGCGAAATCATCTAGTGCATGAATATATATATTTTCTTTTCATTAACAATATTTATTGGGATATAATTCCTTATTTCATCCAACACTCAAAAAATGAATTAAGGAAAGAACTGCTTGGGAGAAGCCTCCGAACAGAGGACTGTAGCCAAACTGAAGATCAAGAGTAAGTAATGTGCTTGATATAATTGTAAAATGATTTATATCAAGTGTGCTTATAGAAAGGATAAGATGTAAAATATAATATCATATCCTGTGCACATAAATGGTATGGGTAACATATACATGGATGGTAACTCATACAATCAAAGAATCATCATCGGAACAATAATATTCTTAAAAATATTTTATCTTAGTCCAGTCATTACCTCCGACCTCTTTGGTGTTCACCATTTTTTAAAATAACCTGAAGTGGAAGGTAATTCAAATTTTAAAAACAACTGTCATTTTTAATTAAATTATTAATGAATACTATTATTAGAGAAATAATAAAGCTAAAAAAAATATCCGGAAGATCTTTGAAGGATTTACTGGCACCTTTAAGCAATCTTGGATTTCATTGTTACTACTCATCAAATGCCAGACCTAGTAAATTACCTGATGGTCCCGACCTCAAACATTTTATTTTGGGGTCATTATCCCAGAGCAATATTGATATGGATGAAAATGAACACATTCCCTATTTAAACGAAACCAACTATGGCCTGAATAGAAAAGGTAATTGTTGAACACCTACAGAACTGAAACTTTCATAAATTATCCTATTTTGAACATTGATTTGATTGTATCAGTTACTATATATGTACTTGTATATATTATACCCTTATTTAATCGAATTTACATTTTTTTTTTCAGTTTATATTGATGTATATGGATGTCAAATGAATGTAAATGATACTGAAATTGTTTGGTCCATATTAGAGTCATCAGGATATGCCAAGACAAATAATATTCAAGAAGCTGATGTAATTCTTCTCATGACTTGTGCAATTAGAGAAAATGCTGAAAGTAAAGTTTGGAACAAGCTAAGACATTTGAAATACATGAAAAAGAATCGACTTCAATATAAAAAGAAACCATCATTGAAAATAGGTATTTTAGGTGAGTGATTTTGTTATGAATTTGCTTTAAAAATGCTCGTTAAGGCTACATAATCTGTTTTACTGACTTTTTGGATAAATTGGTATTGTCATACCAAATTAAGTTTTACAAAGTTGTAAAAAAGCATTTAATTAGCAGGACGATCTCTCAGACCACTAATGCAAAAATATTTCAGTCCCTGATAAGAATTGTGCTTACTTGCACCTCTGAATGTTGGAAATTATTTGGTTCTCATTCGACTCAACTCCTAAGATTTGAAAGACAAATATTTTAGAAAATTTATGGTCCACTACACCAAAACTACATTTAAGAAAAGCATTTATGCTAAAATAACAGAACTCAATTGCCACAAAGAAATTTAAATGTGGTAAAAGTGGGACATCTTAAGTGGCATATACACAGAAAGACCTCAGGCTACTTCCAATGAGTATCCTTGATAAAAGGATTTATGGCAGAACTATGGAAACACCTCGGCCCCAATGAATCAAAGGAGTTGCAGCATGTAATTACTATCTTGGAGATAAACAACCGTAGAGCTGCATCAACTAAGTAGTAGACAGTACTGTTGGACTAAACTGCAGCTCATAACTTTTCTAGAATTTTAGGAGCAAGAATGAAGACGAGAACATTAATTTACTATATGATATTATTCCCATGAATAGAATTAATGGATAATTCTACATGAATTAATTGGCTCTTGATTATACTAGATACTGGTGTAGAATATAGTAAATAGTGCTACTTTTAAACTGTAAAATTCTTCCTCTTGTATGGCGCTACGTCCCCGTGGAGACAAGGCCTCTAGCAACTTGGTCCCCTCAGTTATTCCAATTCCGTGCTGCTGTCCTCCAGTTCTGTAGCCCAAGCATGGATCAAACTGTAAAACTAATCTGGTTAAATAATGGTATGGTTAATTAACATCAGGATAATTGATTAGATTTTAAGAATAATTAAGAGACTCAGATTTTAGGTTGGTAAAAACAAAGATTTTTTTTCTGTGTTTAGGGTGCATGGCTGAAAGACTGAAACATCAGCTGGTTGAAAAAGAGCAATCTATTGACATAGTTGCTGGACCAGACAGTTACAAGGACCTACCTAGGCTTTTGTCTATTAGTGAAAATAATCAAACTGCTGTGAATGTTATGTTATCACAAGATGAAACTTATGCCGATGTTATTCCCGTTAGGATTAATAAAGATTCAGTATCAGCATTTGTGTAAGTGTGTATATCTATCGCTTCAATGATGGTTTTGAAAATCAATAAAAAAGATAATATTTCACAAAAAAGCATTTTTTATTTATATATTTTGTTTTTGTTATTTCTCTCTTAGAGCTCTCAACTTATCTCATCTCAAATCATTTCCCAAATGAGCTATGAATAATTCTTCAAAATATAGTTTTAATAAAGTTTCTTATCATTTTTAGTTCAGAAATTAGAGAAAATTATTTATCAATAATTTTCAAGATTTGTGTCATTAATCATTTTAAAACATCAGCTTATTAAAAAAAAATAGATACTGAATTGGATTAAGAATTTCACTAACATATCATAAAAAGATAAGCAAAAAATAATGTATGATAAAATTTTGAAATGTTTTATATTCATTTTTAGCCAAATTGATAAGTATTTTTACAAATATATATATATATATATATTAAGTAGCTAAAGAAGAAATTATATAATACAGATCAATGTTTATTTATTTATTTTTGTTATTGTATAAAGTTAAAGTGATAATTTATTTTGTCATAGCACTTGTCTCAATTAATAATTATTTTTGTTAAAATAAATTTAAGGTTCAACGTCCCTCACATAAACCAGGCCTAATTCATTAGCTATCAGAGTTCATTCAATTCAGATGATATTAATTAGCTTACACAAATTGTTAACCAATTTTTCTTTTCCAGCTTGTTCCTTTACTTCTTTATCAAACTAGTTACTCATTTAAACACATAAGTTTCTTATAATTTATACTGAGATTTAAAAATATGTTCCAAAATTTTGCTGATTGTTTATTAAATGTATCTGATAGATAATGATTTTTAAATTAAATATTAATCCTGGAATGCCATGTTTATTGGTTTGAAGGCTATTTTTATTTAAGGATTTTTTACAGTTGTTATATTCAAAATTTTGGTTTTAGTTCTATTATGCGTGGCTGTGACAATATGTGTACCTATTGCATTGTTCCTTTCACAAGAGGCAGAGAAAGATCTAGACCATTATCTTCTATTCTACAAGAAGTTGAGTATTTATCTCGACAAGGAGTTAAAGAAGTCACACTTCTAGGTAGTTATACTCTGTTTCTTTTGTGTGATTTAATGGTGTGCTTCAATGTAATAAAATTAAAAAGTATGTAGGTCAGAATGTCAATAGTTACCGAGATGTATCCATGGGCGTTGGAGACAGGGAAGAAACTAAATTGGCTTCTGGGTTTAAGACAGTTTATAAGCCAAAAAAAGGTGGGCTTAGATTTGCTGAGCTTCTAGAAAAAGTTGCAGAAATTGATCCTCAAATGAGAGTTAGATTTACTTCTCCTCATCCGAAAGATTTTCCTGATGAAGTAAGTTGGCTGAATATTTTATTTTCAATTTGACATAAAATAATAATAATAGATGATAACCTTTAACGTTACAATTCTTTAAAAAAATAATCCTCATCAACTTATTGAATAATTAATTATGTTGCTTTATTGCAGGTGTTGGATGTTCTTATTTCGAAACCGAATGTTTGTCTTAATCTGCACTTACCAGCACAGAGTGGAAGCACGAGTGTTCTAGAGCGAATGAGACGAGGCTATTCCAGAGAGGCTTATTTGAAACTTGTTGATCATGTTCGAACTAAACTCCCTGGTAATTTTTAAATTCTCTTCTTAAATTTATCACAATTATTTTATTTTCTATTATCTAAACTTTTTGAGTTTCTATTTATGTATGTTTTATATTTAATAGACAATTGTAATGAGGATGCTTTAGAAAGAAAGACAAAAAATTAAAATATGAATATGTACCTTTTTGAATATATTTAATGTTGCAGTATATAGAATAATTGAGTATTGGATGATAATAATGCTTTTTTCTAATTATATTTTTAAAATTGTTTATTAAGAATCTATTTGTATGATAATAAAGACAATATGTTTTTTTTTATACCAAAAAAAAGAGTGTTTATGCTTTGCTATAAGTTTAAAAGTCAGAATTACAAATGATGTTTCTATTGTTTTTAGTGTCTAAGAAATTGCTTTGATATTTTTATTTGTTTCTCAAAAAGAGGCTATTTCTATGATTTAGGTTTCTAACAAACTTATAATATTCTTATACTTAGTAACATATTAAAACTCACATAAAAATTTATAATTGATTTATAAGACTTCCAGTATTGCAGTTTACAGCATTTAAAATGTTAAATATTGTAATAATTATTTAAAAAAATATTATTACTTAAGATCAGTTTATAAAAATTTAGTCAGGGATCTGACTTTTTTTCATTTTATCTTACTTCATGAAAAAACAAAATAAATTATTATTATTCGTTAACAGTAAATTTTAAACTTGCATAAAACAGCAATTGTCTTTCTCTTATTGCCTCTTGGTATTTTAGAAGCAGGAAGAATAGTTATATTGGTTTGTATTAAAATTAGTTCGATGACCTGAAATTTTTCCAAAAATTACCTGAGAAACTCAGAGAAGTATAGTCGGGAAATTCCATATGAACATTTCAGTAGACGCCCTGTTCATAGAAAAAAAAATTGAAGAAGATAGGATTATGTATTGAGGGATGGGAGTGTCATACTTGGCAAAATGAATTGGTGTGCGGAGTTATTTGAAAATAAAAATATATAATAAGTCAAAACTTTTAATTCACAAATATAAAAACTGACGTGGCTCGAATACTTCAAAAGATGAATGTAGACAAAATACCAAAATGATACCTTACTTCAAACAATCCTGGAAAAATACTGGTAGATAGACCTGTGAGGGTGATATCACTTCTCAAGATAACTGGAATATGCTTTCTGTGGGTACTAGAAAGTAATGACTTTAAGGGTGTTGAGCCAAAAAATAACAATAAAAATGTTTATAAATTCTATTCAGAATGTTGCGATTATATTTTAAATATCAGTTTATTCTACCCTAAGATAATGTATTATTATTTTAATCATCTAAATTTATATATAACAAGATAGTGTATTACAGTAACGGCCTCTTTTCCGGCTCTCAAGAGTTGGATTTTGATGAATGACGGAGGTATCAAACGAAAGAGTATTAAATGTAGCAGTGACAAATCATAGTAATATCCACATTTCTTGATTAGATCCATGATTATTTGAAAATTGACTGAATTCCCTCCAAAACAAAAAAATCATAAAGTATTATTAACAAAGATACAGCCCATTAGTTTTGGTATACATAATAATTTCTTCCTCTTGCAATATTCTGCATTTACTATTCTACTATGTTTTTTTCCAGGCTGATATATACCTTATTATTTCTTAAAGATATTTTTTTGTTGGTACATTTTGTATTTTTTAATAATTTAAAAATCCCATGATCGAGACCTTATTTAGAATAAGAAAGGTAATATTCCGCATTTAAAAATAGGCTCTAGGAAAGTAATTTGTACAAATACTTTGGTCTATTATGTTAAATAAAATAGTGTATTCAACTAAGGAAAACACAATTAATTACTATCTTACATAATACATAAGATCTACTTATTTCCATATTATTTGTCTATTCCTTCACTAAACAAAATATTTTTTGAATTATTTTCATTGGCCAATTAGTTTCTTATAATAGAAATAACTTATATCATTCATTTATCAATCAATTATTAGTTTTTCTCTTGTAATACTCAGTATCCATTTTAGGAGTAACCCTGTCTTCTGATTTTATCTGTGGATTTTGTGGTGAAACTGACAAAGAGTTTGCTGAAACATTATCTCTAATGGAAATAGTGCAATACAATATTGCATACTTATTTGCTTACAGTATGAGAGAGGTAACTGTTTTAATAAATTATTTCAAATGAATCTCCTTTATGAACTATAATTAGTTTTAAAAAAAAGTAATAGAAGAAAATAATGCGAGGTTTTTCATTTATATTCTCATTTTCAGAAAACTACAGCCCATAGACGTTTTGTAGATGATGTGCCTCCGGATGTTAAAAAGGCTAGATTAATCGAAATGGTGAAAGTATACAGAAAATATGCAGACAAACTGAACAGTAACTTTGTTGATCAAGAACAAACTATATTAATTGAAGGGGTATGGATTCAATATACTCCTTTACAATAATAATAGAAACAGAAAGTTTAATGATAATTTATTAATTTTTATATTAAAGACTAAATGTATTTTTAAAAACTATGGAATTGTTTTATTTTTCTACTTTATAAAATATTTAATCTGATGAAAATAATAACGGTCGTATTTTGTTCACTTAGTGAAAAAACTTTTATTTTTCACAGGTAAGCAAAAGATCAAATGAATACCTTGCAGGAAAAAATGATGGCAACATCAAGGTAATTGTTCCTTCCGGAAGCATCCCCAGTGGTCATAATTCATATATTGAAAAGCCAATAGAAGTTGGAGACTATATAACAGTAAAGGTATTATGATCGATTGATTCTAACTTAAAGCATATTGGTTCCTCTAAATGTAGTTAAGCCTCCTTGAATCAAAGAGAAATAATTCTTCTAAAATCAATATTAAAAAAATATTACTTTTGAAAAAATATGTCTAAAATATTTTTTTTTTTTATTATTGTATTACCTACAGTATTATGAGATACTATTGTAAATACTCATTATGATTAAAATCAGCATACAGTTCATTATGATTTTAGTAAATTATTTATAGACTATGCTGTAGTTTAGTTGAACATTTTTAAAAATAACAACATTTAAAAGTTTAAATACAAATTTCAAGTGGATTTTTTTAAAAATTGATTATCGCTTACAATTGTTGGCTTGTAATTAGTTATTAAAATTGTAGTGAGTACAATTGTAATCAGTTGTCAAAACTTTTTCTTCTTTGGTTTTGCATGGGTCAATTAAAGATTTCAGTTTTAAAGAAAAGACGCACTTACTTCTGACATTTAAATAATAATAAATATTACTGCTTGTAAAGGAAGTAAATAACAAAATGAACTTAAAAGTGAGTTTGATGTTAAAAAGAAAAAGAAGGAGAGATAGGAAGTTGGGAACGTAGTTTTGTTTTGTTTACATTTTACATGTTTGGCACAACATCCCGTTACCGAGACTGGGCCTCCTCCAAGAGCCTCCGCCAGTTGGCTCTGTCTTCTGCTGCAGCTCTCCAGTTCCGTACACCAAGCAGGGTTCTCGCATCATAGGCCACGTTGTCCAACCATCTCGTCCTCGGCCTTCCTACCCGTCTTACGAGGTGCAGCTCCTCCATCATTATTTTTTTTGGTATTTCACCGGTGCTCATTCTGGCCACATGCCCTGCCCACCTTAGTCTGGCCAGTTTAATATACGTGACTACGTCGATGTCTGCATAGAGAGAACTGAGCTCCCTATTTTTTCTTTTCCTCCAGACATCACCCTCCTTTACTGGACCATAAATCCTTCTGAGGACTCCTCGCTCAAAGACACTCAGCTTCATCTCATCCCTTTTAGTCATCGTCCAAGCCTCTGAGCCATATGTCAAAACAGGCCGAACAAGGGTCTTGTATATGATCAGCTTGGTCTTCTTTGAGAGGTACCTACTTCTTAAGTGTCGGCCAAGTCCAAAGACACATCTATTGGCAGCCGTGATCCTTCTTTGTATTTCTTGAGCCATGTCATTCTTGCTATTAATTTCAGACCCAAGGTATATAAAACTTTTCACTCTCTCAAACTTAAAAGAACCTACCTCAAATGGAGAGTTCAGATCCACCTCACCACCAACTCTCACATACTTAGTTTTCCTCTCGTTGACTTCTAGACCAAGTGGTCTTGCAGCTGCTTCAAGGCTTATAAACGCTTCTCTGAGAGCCCGTTCAGACCTACCTATTATGTCAATATCATCAGCAAAACCAAGAAGCTGTGTCAGGCGATTGAAGATTATATCTTTGGTCTGAATACCGGAGTCTCTTACAGCTTTCTCCTCTGCCAAGTTGAACAATAGACAGGCGAGGGCATCCCCTTGCCTAACTCCACTGCTCACTTTAAACTCTTCGGAGTCGTCAGAACCGACGCGTATTCTACATCTCGAGCTGTCCATAGTCATCTTGATTAGGCGTACGAGCTTCTGAGGGATGCTTAGCTCCTCCAAGGCACAGTATAGTTGCGTTCTATCAACGCTGTCGTATGCTGCTTTAAAGTCCAGGAATAAATGGTGGGTGACTACCTTGCGCTCCATAGTCTTTTCTAGGATCATCCTCAGAGAGAACAGTTGATCAGTCGTTGAGCGTCCTCTTCGAAATCCAGCCTGATATTTCCCCAGTTCCTTTTCAGAATACGGGAGGATCCTCTCAAAAAGAATGTTAGAGAGCAGCTTATAAGCACACGAAAGGAGTGAGATTCCTCGATAGTTAGCGCATTCTGTTTGATCTCCTTTCTTATGTATTGGGCAGATAATGGCTGTTGCCCATTCCGTAGGCATAGCTTCCCTCTCCCAGATGGTCAGCATTAAATCATGCAGAGCTTTCTTGAGTTCTTGACCTCCACATTTCAACAGCTCTGACTGGATTCCGTCCGGGCCTGGCGCCTTTCCATTTTTCAATTTCCTCAGGGCGTTTTCCATTTCCTCCTCATCCGTGGGTTCAATAGAATTTAGGGAGTCTTCCTTCATTACACCTACTTCTCCAGGCACCGTTCCTCTGTTTAATGCGCCTTTGAAATGTTGCACCCATCTCCCTAGTACGTCATCTTTGTGGCTTAAAAGAGTTCCATTTGTATCTTTGCATGCCGTCACTCTGGGCCTAAAAGCTGCCCTACCCTCGTTTATTCTCTGAAAGAACAGGCGACTTTCATTTTGGCCACGCAATGTCTCTGTGTCCTCCATGTTCTTATTTTCCCAAGCTCTTCTCTTTCCGCGGAATAATCTCTTCTCTTCGCGTCTTTTTCTTCGATATGTTTCTTGGGAGAGCCTCGTGGGACGCTGAACCCTCCTTCTGTAGGCTTCATTTTTCACTTTTACTGCTTGAAGGCAATCAGCATCAAACCATGGGGGCCTTCTAGATTTAGTCTCGTAGCCAAGAGTTTCTTCTGCTGCCTGTTTCATTGCGTTGCTGCATCTCTTCCACTGTTCATCGACCATAGAGCTGTCATTAATTACTTCTTCATTAAGTTTCGTCTGCACAGCTTGTTGATACGAATATTGGTGGTCTGAGTCCTTAAGTTTAACCACATCAATCTTCTTCTTTGGTCGTTGGTAGTGGTTTTTAATCAGCGAAATTCGTGATCTGACCTCGGCAATGCTCAAATAGTGATCCGTGTCCATATTTGCACCTCTATAAGATCTTGCATTTATCATGTTGGACTTGTAAGGGGCACTAATGAGTACATGGTCTATCTGTGATGCTGTTTGCCCATTTGGAGAGATCCATGTTGCTTTGTGGATATTCTTTTGTTTTGTTTATAAAAAATAAACTTATGATTGTAATCAGAATTTCATCTTTAATATTCAATTTTTTTTTACTTCTAATTTATCATCAAAACATTTATTTATCCACAAATGTGCAAAGTAAATTTTGGTTAATTGCATCCGAATACTTTGAATCAAAAAGATATTTGATCACCTGTTTAAAAAACCCAAGCAAATAAAATCCAGGCTCTGCTTATAACCAGTGGTATGTTTATCATTGTATAGGAAGCTCTGATCTGTTATTAGGAGTTAAGGAAAAAAATTATTTATCATAATTTAAGGAAAAGGTACAACATAATTTTTGAATATAATAGCAATAATTTACTTAATTATGAATTCAATTGTTTCAGGTGACTGAAGCTAATTCCCAAGTATTAAAAGGGATACCGTTACATCATACTGCTTTACCATCATAATTATTGTTGTGAGATGGCTAGAACTAATTGAAGCTAATAACTTAGTTTCTTTTAAAACATGTAAATTTGTGTACATTTTAAACTGTAGTAGAAATATATACTTGTTAATATTATATCATTGAAGTTATTTAATTTTCAACATTTTGTTAATAATGAGCGATCTTTGGATTTATTAACATGTGCTTGGCTCTAAAGTGAGTATGAAATATTATGTTATTGTTTTTTTTTGTTTTTTTTTTTAAAGGAGTAATAAAAGTAAATAATTTTGGTATGGTCCACTCTTTGAGAGGAAGATTTGGTGTTTAAAAAATATAAACACACACCTGTACAAACAATACAAGAGTACACTCTCCACTCTCCTCCAGTTCCCACCACACCTTCCTGATGCACTGTTATTTTAAGTTAATTTAATGAAATTTGAACCTTTTATATTTTTTTAAAAAATGCAATCTCAATCTTATACATCATCAAAACCATATTAAAGTAACAAATGTGCAATTTTTCAACAGGCTCACATTTGTTACTATAACATGGTGCCGACGATATGTTCTTTTTCACTTGAATTCTACTAAAGCTTAAATTTATGTAATTATTTTTCCATGCATATACTTTTTTTGAAAATAATAGTGAATAGGTGGTCACTAGCGGATCCAGCCCCCCCTGGAAGCTGGAAAAAAAAATCCAAAAAAAGAATGGCGGGCCTTCCCTTAGATTAGCTATTTAGGCAGCTATTTAACAGCTATTTAGGCCTTCCCTTAGATAGTGGGAAAAAAATCAAAAAAAAACACCTATTTAAAGAAAAGAGAAATATAGGAAAATTTCAACCACTAATTGTGACCAGTACTAGTGGATCCAGCCAGGGCCCGGGCCCCTCTGTCAGTTGGATGGTGGGAAAAAAGTTCAAAAAATCAGCTATTTAAAGAAAAGAGAAATATAGGAAAAATTCATCCTCATAGATGAATTATCTGTGATATAAAAAAAAAGTTATTGTCGTGGCCAGCATTACTGATTTCTGCCAGGACGTGTGCCCCCCTCTGGATAGTGGAAAAATAAGTTCCAAAAAACAGCTATTTAATGAAAACAGAAATATAGGAAAACATCATCCTCTAAGACAAATTTTCTAATGTGATCATCATCATCCCAAGCTCGACAATCCATTACCGGATCTTTGCTCCCTCAAGAGTTTCCCTGTCCTGAGCAGACTCCACCAGTTCCTGATTCCCAGGATTCTGGCATCAGTACTAATGTAATATTAATGTGTATGTTCCTAATGTAATATTAAAAAAAATTATCACGACCGTTTTCATTCACTTTCTGGTTTGTCATTATATTACTTCTCCTCGCCAGGCTGTGAATCAACTGGTATATGCAAGATTTTTGAAACAAAGAATAGAATGTTAGAGCAAAAGTTGGCTCATAAGGTGAAATAATATAGGTTTTAGGCCGCCATGAGATTCGAAGGTTTGTTCTGTCACAGTTTGTTCCTGCTGAGTCTCGCAGGTGAAATACATGATGGAGGAAGATTAATTTTTAAAAAAGTGAACTTTATTTATTTTTTCGACCAACCTTTTATTCGAACACAAGAAAATACAGTTTTTCTCCCAGACCTAGTTTTTATTCAGTTGCAATAGATCTGCAGGCATTGCAACCTCCAGCAACTTTAATCTACTTGCAGAATCCATGGGATTCATAAAACTGATCACGGTAATAATTAGTATATTTCTCATTAGAAAGTGTTGTTCTTTTCTTAAAATAGCTGTTTTTGTCAACGTTTTCAAGAAGGAAGGTACTGATTATTTGATCGGAATTGGAAATTATTCTGAGTTTTTTTTCTTAGAGAACTTCCATTTCCAAGTCGCAGGGCCATTTATACTAATCTGTCTCAGATTTTGACAATGTTGTTAAAAATTAGTATTCATTGACCATGGTTATCGATCATATCACTTAATCAAATTATTAAGTTTAGGTACTTGTTTGATGCGCAATTTGATATTCTTTAATTTCTTAAAGAATGCGTTTTTCAGTTTGATGCACTGTTTGGTAGTAATAGATGAAAAATAAATCAGATAAATCTGGATTTTTTGGCTCTTAAAAGTTTTCTCTTGGTGACCCTTGTTAGCAATTTTATTTTTTACATGACTAAACCCATATACATGTTGTCCCTTAAGTAGAGGTAAATATTTAAAGGAGTAATAGCAGAACTCAAGAAATACAAAAAAGTTAATATAAACAATGGTTCAATTTTCTGCAGGAAAGTAGAAAATTAAAGTTTTGTGATTTTTAAGTTCTTATTTTTAGTACTTAACATTTCTGAAAAAATAAACCTGCTAATTATTAATATTCATATCTAATCCAATATTTTCATGAAATATTATTATATTTCACCGTTAAAAGATAGAAACGTAGGATAAGACTTTTTAAATGAGGATGAGAAGCTGATATTAATCAAATAACATTAAATTTTACATTTAATGTGTTTATTCAAAATTGTTGGTACAATTTCAAGAAATGCTTAAAATTGGTTATTTTTTTCTGGAAGAGGAAGGGGCCTACAGAAAAATTGCATTTGGGAGCAGTCATATATTCTTAATTTCAGTTTCATAACACTCTGTTTTAATTTCTCTACCCACATATTCAAACACACCATTTTACAAAACTTTGTTATTTTCATTTGACAGACCTTAGAATATGTGTTCATTGAAATCTAGATTTAGAAATTTTTTAGGATGGCAATAATTCTCTTTGGTATATATTTCATAGGTAGATAAGTGAAAGTATGAAAAGTTGCTCAACCAGTTAATATGGTCAACATCCATATTCAACTGCTAGGTTCTCTCTCTATTCCCTTTCCATTGAAGGGATAATTTTAAAGTTAGGTGACAACTTTATAAAGCCTGGGTGTGTCCCAGAAGAATTCGCTGACCTCTAAATGAAATACATATGTGTGACTGAAAATACCTATGTATAAATTTGTTTTGGTTTGTGTGTATCAGAGAGGGCATCATGAATTGCTAGGCACTAGGAGTTTCAGTGCATCGTAATGTTGGTTTCCCTTGATTTTTTTTCAATGTTTGTATAACTTTTTTTAAAATAATCTGTTAAATGACAGTCATAATAATTCTGAAAACAATGCTGTCTACTTTAAATATTTACTTGTGGTAAATAGTTCAGATGTTAACAAACACATTTTTCAAAAGCAGTATGTATTTTCCCTAAATTATCATTTTGTTTATATCTTTCTGGAGTTGTTTCGTAAATATATTGTCATTCCTTTTGCATGCAATGTTATTTTTATGTGCCTATTACTTTTCTTGGGCCTTGGATTGCGCTGGTTACCCTCTTGATAGGTCAGGGTCATGTATTGGAGTTATTGAGGTCATTCCGATCTTCAACCTTGGAATAGAGATCGATAAGAATTCGTTGTAACCGATAAAGAAGTCGGACCTGCTGTGTGAACTCGCTCAAGGTCAATATGTTAGTAATTTCATTTTGTATTGACAAAAAAAAGAGTGATTTATCTTATAAATTGATTATTTTACGAACATTTTGACGGTCTTATCTTAAAGCTTAATGTTCACAAAATCAAGATTCTGTTTATATTTCTAGTAACCGTCGGGAATGAAGTTTAGAAACATCGGATACACCACTAGAGGATTTATGGGGAAGAGAGGGGCTTTCGTGTGCATTGCACAAGATTTTTAGTTAAATGATCAGTGTTAATTTAACCGTCAACATGTATTAGGTCATTTTGAGTTCTATACGCATGACCAGGATCGGATGATATAGGATTTAATTTTGGGAGGAGCTTCAGCACTAAAGCTTTTATTTTTTACTTACATATGAAATATATAATACGGATAAGTAATATGAGCGTGAAAATTTTCGAATCAGAGGTTTCAACGAAAATACACGTTTTGAGATCCCTCCAGTCCACTAGCAGATCCAGGATTTAATTTTAGAGGGGGGGGGCTTCAGTCCGCAACCTTTTTTTTTTCATATATATATATATATATATATATATATATATATATATAAAACAATAATTACTTTGGAAAAACAAAAAGATACTAACTACCTATATGAAATGGTGTTTAAGTGATTCTTGAAGTCCTATTAAATGTAATTAAACGAGCAATAATACTTTAAGACATAATTTTTTAATATTTTTACCATAAAACATGGTTACATTTTAACATTTTGGGGGGGCTTAAGCCCGAAAACCCTCCCCGGAAATCCGCCTGTGCTTGAGTCCAAATAACCAAGTCCCGCAAAATTGTCTGTATGTGAGAGGGAACAATCTAGCCCAATAACGAAAAGTAGTACGAAACTAAAACTCTGTATTTAAGATTTCTATATGCTTGGGATGTTACATTTTCCTCAAGAAATCGTCTAACCGGAAGTACCACTTAATATCATCGATTTTACTCATTTACATATACATAACGAAAATTAATTTGGCAGAAAATGAGAGAAACTAACTACCATTAGCACAGGTGGATCTACGGAGGGGAGGGAGGCTTTCGGGCTGAGGCCTCTCGTCTCCCCCAAAATGATAAAATGTAACTATGTTTTGTAGAAAAAAGTTGTCTTTTAAAGTATTATTGTTCGTGTAATTACATTTAATATGACTTCAGGAATCATTAAAACACCATTTCATATAGGTAGTTAGTATCTTTCCTTTTTTTCTAAAACAATTATTGTTGTATATACAGGTGAAAAGAAGAAGCTTTCGTGCTGAAGCCCTCCCAAAATTAAATCCTGAATCCGCTAGTACCTGTATAAAGCGACGTTTAAGGGATTCTTTAACGTCTTTAAATGTAATTACACGAACAATAATTATTTTAGAAATACTTTTTTCATAAGACATGATTATATTTTACCATTTTGAGGAGTTTTCAGCCGGAAAGCCCTTCACCCCGTAGATCCACCTGTACACACTGTAATAAGTCCTGGTGGATTCGGGATGAAATCCTTTCAAAATCGAAAATAGTTTTTTTTTTTCATTGGTCCATATTTGTTTATGTGAGTGATCTAAGCAAAATACTTAAACAATATAATATATTCTCTTTCTAAATTATAATGCGTTTACAGCCACTCACAGGCGGATCCACGGGGGGAGGGGCTTTCGGGCTGAAGCCCCCCAAAATGGTAAAATATAATCATGTTTTACAGAAAAAATTATTAAAAACTATCTCTTAAAGTATTCTTGTTCGTTTAATTACATTTAATAGGACTTCAAGAACCACTTAAACACCATTTCATATACGTAGATAATT